AACAAAACCCAGTTCAAAACTTATTAGAAGGACCATTCACCACAAATAAGTGGCATTTATTCCAGGAATGATCCAACATCCACAAAAACTTGATAATTTATGATAAAGAATCTCAACAAAGTGAGTACAGAAGGAACATCCCTCAACATAATAAATACCATATATGAAAAACCACAGGTAACATCAGGTAAGCGGAAAACTTACCCTTACAATCAGGAACAAGACAAGGTTATGTCCATTCCCATCACTTTAATTCAACATAGTACTGGAAGTCCTCACCTTAGAAATTAGACAAGAAAGAAAAGGCATCCAGATTGGAAAGGAAGAAGTAAAATGGTCTCTATGTGCAAATGATAGGACAATAAATATAGGAAATGCTAATATACAAAATTTATATATAGACATCTGTTCCATTTCTATACACTGATAATGAATTATCAGAAAGAGAAATTAAGAAAACAATCCCATTGACAATTGCATCAAAAATAATAAAACGTTGGGGCACCTGGGTGGCTCAGTGGGTTAAAACCTCTTCCTTCGGCTCAGGTCATGATCCCGGGGTTTTGGGATCAAGCCCCGCATGGGGCTCTCTGCTCAGCGGGGAGCCTGCTTCCCCCCATCTCTCTCTCTCTGCCTGCTTCTCTGCCTACTGTGATCTCTGTCTGTCAAATAAATAAATAAAATCTTTAAAAACAAAACAAAACAAAATAATAATAATAAAATACCCAAGAATAAATTTAACCAAGAAGAGGAAATATCTGTACTATGAAAATTATAAAGCACTAATGAAATAAGTTGAAGACACAAATGGAAAGATATACCATGCTCATGGATTGGAAGAATTAGTATTGTTAAAATATCCATACTACCCAAAGCAATTTACACATTCAGTGTAATCCCTATCAGAATGCCAACAGCAAGAATATGCTATAGGGAAAAAACAGTCTCTTCGATAGTGTTGGAAAAAGTGAATGGCTACATGAAGAATGAAACTGAACCACTTCCTTACACCACCCATACAAAAATAAACTCTAAATGGATTAAAAACTCTAAGTGCAAGACCTGAAACTAAAAAACCCCTAAAAAGAAAACATAAGCAGTAAACTCTTGAACGTCGGTCTGAGCATAATTTTTGTGTAAGTCTCCTCAGGCAAAAGCAAAAAAAGCAGAAATAAAAAATTGAGATTGCATCAAACTAAAGCCTTTTGCACAGTGAAGGAAACCATTAACAAAATAAAGAGGCAACCTACTGAATGAAAGCATATATTTGCAAAGGATATATTCAATAATAGGTTAATAGCCAAAACATACAAAGAACTCACAGAACACCAAAAAACAACTGGATTTTAAAATGGGCAGAGGATAGCAAAGGAAACAATCAACAAAACTAAAATAAAACCTGTAGAATGGGAGAACATATTCACAAATGACAGGTAAAGGGCTAGTATCCAAAAATATATAAAGAACTTACCAAGCTCAATACCCAAAAAACTAAGAAAATCCAGTCAAGAAATGGGCAGAAGACATGAACAGACACTTCTCCAAGGAAGACATACAAATTGCTGACACATGAAAAAACACTCAAATCACTCAGCATCAGGGAAATCCAAATCAGAACTACAATGAGAAACCACTTCCTACCAGTCAGAATGGCTAAAATTCACCACTCAGGAAACAAATGTTGGCAAGGATGTGGAGAAAGGGAAACCCTCTTACACTTCTGGGGGGAATGCAAGCTGGTACAGCCACTCTGGAAAACAGTATGGAGGTTCCTTTAGATGTTAAAAATAGAGCTACCCTACCACCCAGCAATTACACTACTAGATATTTATCCAAAGGATACAAAAATAGTGATCCAAAGGGGCACGCACATCCCAATGTTTATAGCAGCAAAGTCCACAATAGCCAATATACAGAAATAGCCCAGATGTCCACTGACCAATGAACGAATAAAGATGTGGTGTATATATGTATGCAATGGAATTCTACTCAGCCATCAAAAAGAATGAAATCTTGCCACTTGCAACGTTGTGGATGGAACTAGATGGTATTATGCTAAGCAAAAGAGTCAGAAAAAGACTGACCATGAAAAGGCTGAAAGACTGACCAGAAAAAGACATACCATGTGATTTCACTCATGAGGAATTTAAAAGACAAAGCAGATGAACAAAGAGCAAGGGAAGGAAAAATAAAATAAGACAAAAACAAAGGGAGGCAAATCCCAAGAGAATATGAACTACAGGAAACAAAGGGTTGCTGGAAGGTGGGAGAATGGAGTAATTGGAATGATGGGCATTAAGGAGTGCACTTGACATAACGAACACTGAGTGTTAAATGCAACTGATCAATCACCACATTCTACCCCTAAAACTAATAATATGCTATATGTTAACTAAATTGAATTTAATTTTTTTAAAAATGGGCAGAGGACCTGACTAGACACTTTTCCAGGGACACATAGAGGGTCAACACACACACACAAAGATGCTCAACATCACTAATCATCAGGGAAATGTAACCCAAAAGCACCATGAATTATCACCTCACACATGTTAGGACAGCTATTATCCAAAACCTAGAAGATACCACGTGTTGGCAAGGATGTGGAGAAGAGGTAGGTCCCTCAAACAGTGTTGGTGCGAATGTAAACTTCATACAGCTGAAACAGTATGGACCTTCCTTAAAAAACTAAAAATAGAACTACCAAATGACCCAGCAATCCCACTTCTGGGTATAAACCCAAACTGGATGATATCAGTACCTTGAAGGCTTAGTTGCATTCCCACGTTCAGTGAAGCATTTTTCACAATAGCCAAGATAGGGAAACAACCTACATGTTCACTGACAGATGAAGGGATAAAGAAACTGTGGTATATATATGCACAAAGATTACTTAGCCTTCATAAAGGAGATCCTGCCATTTCCAACAATGGATGAAGGATGGACCTTGAGTGCATTATGTAACGTGAAATAAGTGAGAGTAAGACAATTAGCATATGAGTTTTTTTTTAAGATTTTATTTATTTGACAGAGTGAGAGATCACAAGTAGGCAGAGAGGCAGGCAGAGAGAGAGGGGGAAGCAGGCTCCCTGCTGAGCAGAGAGCCCCATGCAGGGCTCGATCCCAGGACCCTGGGATCATGACCTGAGCTGAAGGCAGAGGCTTAACCCACTGAGCCACCCAGGCACCCCATGAGCTCATTTTTTTAAATTTCTTATTTTTTTATTGTTATATTAGTCACCATACAGTACATCATTAGTTTCTGATGTAATATTCCATGATTCATTGTTTGTGTATAATACCCAGCACTCCGTGCAATACATGCCCTCCTTAATATCCACCCAAAGATACAGATGAAGTGAAAAGAAGGGCCACATGCATCCAATGTTCACAGCAGAAATGTCCACAATAGCCAAACTGTGGAAAGAGTGGAGATGCCCTTCGATAGACAAATGCAGAAAGAAGACGTGGTCCATATACACAATGGAATATTACTCAGCCTTCAGGAGACCAGGGACTTTGTATTTTTGCCATTGCTACTTCTCCCCTATCTGCCAAGAGTTGAATTTCCTCAATTAGCTAAGCTTCACTATTCCAGTCCGTAAAAAGAAGATAGTAACACCTTCTTGCTGGTGGTGGAATGTTTTCGACATTGAAAAACTAGCATCTAATACAGTAGCTGCTGTATAGTAGACATACAATATTGGCTAAAGATTAGACACTTGCAGTCCTACCAAATGAGGTATGTATAATATCCTACATGTCCACACTCTTTGGAATAACATACTGGAAACCGACCTAGTCACCTATTAACAGAGGACTTGATTAAATATATTGTGACATATGCACACAATGGAACACACTACACAGCCTGTAAGGCAACTTTATCTGTATTGATGTAGAAAAAATCTTCAAGATCTACTTGTGAATAAAAGCAACATATAGCCAAGTGTGCATGGTGGGCTGCCATTTGTGTCAAAGACTACAGTAAATAATACAAGTTTGAATTATCTTTTGGGTGAAAATGCTCTAACATTTATAAGAAACAAGTAACAGTAGCTACTGGTTGGAAGAGGAGGAGGAAGAGAAACTCCACTACCATTTTAACACTTCTAGATCTGGGGACCCATGTGAGCTACTTAACATGCGCAAACTAGTTCATCAATCCATCAAGATAGTCCTTGTCCTATTGGATACCTAAAACCCCACATCAGAATCTCCCAACCATCTGTCACACTGCCCTAAAAACATTTCAGATGGGAGACTGGGCCTGGCCACTTCCTCTAGAGTCCCAGTCCTACAATCATCCCAGCTCAAGTATAGCAAGGCCATTTGTGAAAGGGACAGTCTTTAAAATCTCCCAGCTCTGGCATCGGTCTCAGATGGGCAGACCCTTTTTATATTTTCAGATTATCTTAACTCTTACATTCCAGCCTGCTTTGGCTACCCTGTACCTCTGAAGTCTTCATAACTAGAGTTAATGATCATGGATGTGTTAGCTAAGACAACCATTTCCTTGAGGACTTTCTCTTCACCCCAGAAGAATCCCTAGATTATGCCATCAATAAGAGTAATGATATAATAGTCATAACGGCTCTCAGGTACTGAGTACTTTGTCAGTCACTAGGTTAAAGGCTTTAACATTTTCATTTTTTTACTTTTTTTTTTAACAATGTTAAATCATATTGCATCAACTCCATGATGTAGATTGTTTCCATTTTACAGGAGAGGAAACTGAGGCTGTGTGCCAAACTTCATTCCATCTGTTCTCTCACTTTATGAGGAATCCCAACCAACTAGTCAAGCCCCAGGAATCCAGTTTATGAACAGTGTTCTTTTTTTAACTTTTTTTTTTTTTTTAACTGCAGGGTAACAGGAGGGATAATACTCTTTGGTCTGGGCTTCTGGAAGAATACACTTGACTCCTTTGGTCATAAAATTCAGACAACATGTAGCGAGTCTGTTATTTTGCTGTGACACAGGGAACAGCCAATTCTTACCCTATTGTCTTCCTGGATCTCCCAGTCGCTGGAAAAAGTTGCCAGTTGCTGCCCCTGAGAACAGTTCGAAAACTGGAAAAGACTGGAAAACATCCTTCGGTTCTCTTGAGTGTCCGGAAAGATGGCATCCTGGAAATTGACTCCGTGAGGCAAGAGATTGTAATTCTCATCCATCCTAATGGGGAAAAAAAGGAAAAATCTCAACTCTAGACTAGACATCCATAGGGCATACCAGCTTTCATCAAGAGCTGTAAAGACTGGCAATCTTGCCATTACACTAGTTCTCACGTGGCTCTCATTCGAGGACTTACCATTTCTAAATGTTTCTCTGCCTCACGTTACAGGAGGCGATCCTTAAGGTTTTCCCAAAGGAGAGTCTGGGTGAAGGGTTGTGGGGGTGGGGGTGTGCATATGGGTTTGTCTACTTGTAGATCTCCCAAGTGGCCTTCTTTCTCACTGGGTGTTCCTTGTTTCTTGACCAAAGGAAAGCCAGTTCTAATGACCCAGGTTCGAATCCTGCCATTGCTACTGCTCTTCTGTCAAGAGTTGAATTTCCTCTATTAGCTAAGCTTCACTATTCCAGTCTGTAAAAAGAGAATAACACCTTCTTGCTGGTGGTGGAAGGACTGCACTAGATCAAGTAGCTGGCATAGAGTGAGTACGGTAGAGATCTTAACATTGTTATAGAGCTCAGAGTAAACGGTGTTGGAAAGAGAAAGAAATCCCGTAGAGGGAGAGGAGGTCAAAGTTACCCTTCAGTACAAAGAAGGGATGGAGGCCTCGCCAGGGAGCCTCCACTGCCACTTTCCCCTGTGACACTGCCCAGAATCTGTTCTCATCTCACTGGGTCCCAGAATAACAGGGGAGGAATGATTTGTATGCGGCTGTTAACGCACTCAGGGCAACACAGCCCTGTGAAATGGAAATCTGTCAGACTACCAGTTGACTCTGTATTTCTGCCCTAACTTTTTGTAAATATGTCAGAGGGAAAGATTAAAGAGCTGGCTGACCACCACACAGCCACCGGACAAAGCTCTTCCATGATAAAAATCAGAGGAAAAATCATGTCTGCTTAAGTTCTCCAGCTCTTTTTTTTCTTTGGAAAAGAAAGTTTCAGTGATTAATAGTTTTATAGCTGAGGTCTCAGTGTCCTTCCTAAGGAAATACATGAAAAAGCGGAGTTGAGTTTCTTTGCATCAAGGATACTATCTCACTCCTTGCTGACTTTATTTAGAAACTATACTTCCTCAGCAATTAAAGAAAAAAAAAACTTAATCTCACTAAACCACTCAAGCCAACACGAAGCACGCCACGTATTCTAAACTTAGAGGTTCTGGCTTCAATACGGGAAACATGTGTTGCCATGAGCTTATGAACGCCCCCCGGGTGCATCTTACTTTTTTTTTTTCTTTCTCAGCAGGATGTGAAGTCTCAAGAACTAAAATTGAGTCTGCAGACTGGGGTCACAGTCATTCCAACTGTCCTTGCTGCCACTTCACAGACTGGGAAAACTGGAACCATTACCAGTCTCAACTGTGGATTAATTCCCTCACTAGTTTAATACGGAGGTTACATTCTAGTTCAAGGCTTCTCTCAGCTGTTCTATACCACCCTGATTCAACTGGAGACAGCCAATGCATCCAGGGTTCCACCTGTTCTCCATTTCAAACTGCAAACCCATCGACTGAATTCTTATACACGTGAATTCCGTCTTGACTGCAGGCCAGCTTTCATGGAACTTAACAAGATTCCAGGAGCCTCCAGTCAGAGAGCACCGCCTGCCTGTTTCACCTATACTCTTCAAAGCACTCTGAACCAGACACCCCTCCAGAAGGCCCCCACAGAAACCTTTGCTATTTTGCAAAGCCCAGCGCTGAGGTCCGATGGTGGTGGATAAAGAGTCAAACAAAAACAGCTGGGCTGCATTCCACACCATGCCTATCTTGGCATTTCAGCAGGTGGGGAAAAGAGGGACTATTCCTTCTGCATCTAACCTGCACCAGGTGTTCTGTGTAATTGTGCGCTAGTCTCAACCGAGCTGGTTTCTCACATTATGGAAGTGAGGACAGGGAGGTTCTTCAAAAGACAATTTTCTCAAAAAAAAAAAAAAAATCGCAGGAGGAGCAGAGCCAGAATTCCAACGAGTCTGATTTCAAAATTTGGGGTTTTTTTTCCCCCTCCTCACCATCCCAAGCTACTTCCAGGGAATCCAATTAAAAGTATACATTTAAAGGAGAAGAGTCAAATGGATTTTTGGAAACCACCTTGGGCTTTTGCCTGAAACAATCTTCTACGCTTTAAGCACAGAAATCAAACCTCGTTTTGTTTTTAACAGCCTTAGCCAAATGCACCCAGGACCTTTGTCAGACGTCCCACGGAGTAGGAGAGAATAAAGAGGAAGGAAAAGGAGCCCAAGGCGTATTCCCAAATGGCACGGACAGGATTCCCTGGTGTTCCGGGCCTGGCTCCAGATAACGGTGCCCTCGGGAGGTCATGAAATAGCTGGAGGAGGAGGTGTGGGCGGGAGGTGCCGCGCTCACCTGAGGAAGAAGAAATAGGAGTAGTCCTGGACCACGGTGTGGGAGTGACATGAGAAGTAGCCCAGGCCGGTGAGGTTGAGTCTGGAGCCTGCGGGCACCTCGAGCATGCTGCCCCACGCCTGGTCGCACAGCATCTCGATCTCGGCCGAGTAGAAGAGCCCCGCGTCGCTGGCCTCGTACTGCCATGGCAGGTAGTTGTACAGGCCGTGCACCTCCTGGTGCAGCGCCAGCACCTTGGCGTACACGATGATCTCGGCCAGCTCCGCGCGGCAGCCCTCGCTCAGGGGTCTCCACTCGGAGGGCAGCTGGCAGCCGCGGGTGGTCCCGAGCCGGCCGGCCAGGCAGAACGCCGCGAGCAGCAGCGGGCGCAGCATGCCGGCGGCGGGAGCTGGTGGCTGGAGCGGGCGGAGGGCGCGGCCGGGTTCGGCGCTGCGCCCTGTGCGCACTAGCCTGGGCGCATGGCAGGGACGCCCGGGACTGGCAGGACAGAGCGGGATGGCGCGGCCGCGGCAAACAGGAGGCGTCGGGGAGCCTGGAGAGCCCGCTCCGGCCGACAGCGCCGCCCCGCCGGCGGGCGAAGGGCAGCCCTGAGCGCTGAGCTCGGAGCTGCTCTCTCCACCGCCGAGCTTATCGCGCCCGGCCCTCGCCCGCGACGCTTTAAAGGGTCTCGGGGCGGGCCAGCTGCCCGCCTCCTGCCCAGCCCCCCCGCGACGGGGCGTGGGCGGCGGCAGGAGGGGGCGGGGAGGCGGCCGGGGCGGGCATGGGCCCCGGGCCAGGGGCGCTCGGGAGCCGCGGGGTGCGGTGTCCGTACCCCCTGGCCCGGCGCGGAGTCGGGGGAGTGCGGAGCCTGCGCTGGAAGGTCGCTCGCTGCCGGGAGCGGCGGCCCAGCCCTCCTCCCTGGCCCCACGGATGCGCTGGGTCAGAGCTTTCCAAGCGGAAAGCCTGTTCCAAACGCGTGGCCTGCAGACGACAATCGTTGTGGCTTTGCATGAGTCTTCGGCAGATGCGTTTACATTTTCTGTGTCGTTCTTTTAGAGTCAAAATGCGTAGAAATCAACTTATGTTTCATGGAGGTTCATTCGGAAACAGCGTGGGCTAATAAACTTTTTTGGAGATCTCTCTTTCGCTCTCTTTCAAGTTGCTTATTTTATGATAATCTTAGGAAAGCCTTAATAAAAGATCTGAAAAGCCATTTTGTCCTGATTTTGCTAAAGCGGCATGATTTATATAATTCCTACTTCCAGATTCCGAACACCCTACACCCGAGGAATAAATTAAGAAGTAAATTCCAACCAGCTTTTCACAAGTCAGTGCGTGAGTCTGATGAGACTCAGGCTCAGCAGTCTCTCTCTCTCTCAAGTCAGTAGCTCCTTTTATGTCCAAATGGCGAAGTGTTCCTGATATAGTAAGGAAAAAAGAGGACATTAATTTATAACTATATAATATTTTTATATATGCAATACATCGTGCATATAATCATGCATGTAATATGCATTCCATGGTACTTGTCCTACATATTGTATGTAATATATATTTATAATAAATATGTAAGCAGAACTGCCTTAACATGGAAGACTCCTTGTGCCCTAATCATCTTATTTACTAGGGTTTCTGCAAGTGTGAGTCTCGAAGCCCCGCTAAATTTTTCCGTGCCTTGAAGGGAAAGTTCTTAGGGAATTCTGTAAGGAAAGGTGAGGAGAAAAGAGGATAAAGCAGCAGGAGAGGAAGTTTCAATGCTGGGCTTCACCTCCCTAAGGCCCCCATCTTCTTCCTCTGATCCTTAAATCTTTAGTTAGCGCAATTTAACTCGTGAATGCTTGTTGTGACTCTAGTCTTTCAAAGGCAACTCTGTCGTCCAGATCCCACTAGGACTGAAACTGGAAGAAGAAACCGTGAGAAGGGCAGGCTCAGGCAAAAGGGGACAAACAAGGGAGGGCTTCGGGCACCCCCAGAAATGGAATGATCAGGACTTCACCCAGCACTGCCCAGCTGGTAAGGGAATGGGAAGCTCCAATTGCCCCACAATCATATTAGTCCAGAATCTGATCAGTGACTCAGTCAACCAAGTACTTATTCCTACAAAGTCCTCTATGATTAGCCTAAAAGCAGACAGAAGTAACAGTGAAGGCTTCTCACAGATAATAACTAGTACCTGCATATCTAGTAGTCAGCCTAGGGCTTTGATGAATTTTGCAGGGAAAAAAAAAACAATTATCATTAGATGGAATCAAGTGAACAGTAGTCCTGATAGTGTTTATGACCCCCCCACACACACCCCATGGTAGATACCAGACTTTCACACGATGGGTAAATGGTGTTCAAGGATGATCTCGGACACCATATATCAGCACTGCTCATTTGTCTCACTGAGCATGTAAATTAGGAAACTTCATCATGTCTTGCTCTTAGACTACTCAGGCCACCATGACAAAATACACAGACTAGACGGCTTAATCAGCAGACATTTCTCTTGTTGCAGTTCTAGAGGCCAGAAGTCTAAGATTAAGACATCATCAGGGTTGGTTTCTGGGGAGGGCTCTCTTCCAGGCTTGTAGACAGCTGCCTCACCCTCTGTGTCTTCATGTGGCCTCTTCTTCCCTGCATGGAGAGAGAGAGAGAGAGAGATGTGATGTCTCTTCCTCCTTGTATAAGGACACCAATCCTATCAGATTAGAGGCCCACCCATGTGACCTAAAGAAGTAATTACCTCCCTAAAGTCTTCATCTCCAAATGCAGTCTCTTTGGGGGTTAGGATTCCACATGTGAATTTGGGAGGAGAGGGAAGGAGACACAATTTGGTCCATTACAGATATTTAGCAGGCATTCTGAAGGTTTGCCAGAGAAAGAGAGATAGAGGATATAAAATGGTCTGTATTCCTGGCAAGTAGACGTTGAGCAAGCATGGCTAAATGATTATATTAATTGCTAACGTGTATTCATTGCTTACTGTGGTCCAAGCACTACTGTAAGGACTTTGAATGTGTTATCTTAATTAAATCTCCAAACAAGACTCCAAAGTACATACCACCATCATCCTTGTTTTGTAGATAAGGAAACTTGGGCACAGAGAGGTTAATTGACATACACGAGATCACAGAATTGGAAAGTGACTGAGCCGGGATTCAAACCCCAGTATCAGACACCAGAATATGTGCATTTAACTACAACATGAGAATACAGACGAAAGAGGCACTGTTGTAAAGGTGCAAGTGGAGGGACATCTGGGTGGCTAACTTGGTTGAGCATCCAACTGGTGATTTCGGCTCCGGACACCATCTTGGGATCATGGGATCGAGTCCCACACCCGGCTCCGTGCTCCACAGGGATTCTACTCGAAGATTCTCTCCCTCCGCCCCTCCCCACTCTTTAAAATAAATGGGGCACCTCGGTGGCTCAGTCATCAAGCCTCTGCCTTTGGCTCAGGTCCTGATCCCAGGGTCCTAGGATGGAGCCCAGCATCAGGCTCCCTGCTCAGCTGGAAGTCTGCTTCTCCCTCTATCACTCCCCCTGTTTGTGTTCCATCTCTGGCTGTCAAATAAATAAACAAAAATCTTTAAAAAATAAAGGTGCAAGTGAGCCGTTCATCTTGAAGTGAACGTATGCATAGTAATAACATTAGCATAGTCACCAGGGATGGCTAAAGCAGTATGTCACTGGACTAACATTAATTTTGTGTTAACCAGCAACCCAGCTCTGTGTTAGTCTTCTGCCACAACTTACAGATAGGATGGTATGCAAGCGTTTCAACTGCATCTTCAAGAGTCTCAGAAGCCTGGGAAAGATTTGTCCACTTCAACATTCTTGAAACCATGACTTTTCTTTCCATTTAGACAAGCAAATAAAAAAATCTGTATGCATGGCTGATTTCTCTCTTCTTGTATAAACTTGACAGAATCAAAACTCTTCCAATAATACCCAGAATGTATTATCCAGAAACGAGCACCTTTGAGAGACTGTCTTTCTCCTGGACTCTTCACAGAAATGTCAGTGATGCTTCTCTTCTCCTCAGTCAGGTCTGGCAGAGCACCACAGTGACTGAGGTGATTCACCTGGGGCCATAGGGAGTCCTCTGGAGAGCATCTTCTCTTTGCGGACTAAGAATTCCATCCAAGTAGAACACAAGGCAGCCAGGGTGGGAAGCAAAAATTCTACCAATGAATGATTGGGCTTACAAGTGAATGAACCACTTCCACTCCTTGATTCCAAGACCCATATGTTCTGACTGGGGGGAAACACCACCTTGGATTATTCTCTGTTTCAAAGCATATCCGGTATTCTTTTTCTTTTTCTTTTAAGATTTTATCTACTTATTTGAGAGAGAGAGAACGAGAGCACAGAGGGAGAGTGAGAAGGAGAAGCAGACTTCCTGCTGAGCAGGAAGCCTAATGTGGGACTCTATCCCAGGACCCTGAGATCATAACCTGAATCGAAGGCAGATGCTTAACTGACTGAGCCACTCAGGCAGCCCTTGGTATTCTTTAATATAGCACCCATTTCTTTCAAGGCATGCCTCTCGACTGACACAAATGAGTCTTCAGTGAGCCATTCTATTACATTAGTAAGCTTTCAAAATTTGTCTAATTGCTTCTAATTGATGGAGTATGGAGAAGACCACTTAATTCCATGGCCAAGAGCCCATTGCTGCATTCCTTTTGCTATAAAAGAAGCAGTGCTATGGAAATCACCAATCAGAAACAGTGTTACGGGAAGTACCACGATGGGGGTAAGGGGTTCTGTGAGTCCATAGACTCCGCTACTAGCGGAGGCATTGTCGGGCAGAAAAGGTGTATTCAGGTCTGGAACATGTCTATTCCACTGAGGACAAATCTCTGCCCTCTCCAGGATGGAATAGGTCCAATGTAATCAGCCTGCCATGAGGTGACTGGTTGGTTCCCCCAGTGAAGGGGACCATAGTAGGGAATCAGTATTGGTCTCTTGCTAACACAGTAGGCTCTCAGCAGTGGTGTTTGCCAGGTCAGCCTTGGTAAGAGCAAATCCATGCTGTCAAACCAATGAATAGACTCTATCCCTACCACCATAGCTGCTCTTTTCATGCACCCATTGAGCAAGCACTGGAGTGGCTGTGAAAAGAGAATGACATCCACAGAATACATGATTTGTCCACCTAATTACTGAGAGCTTCTCTTCAGTGAATGCCTTTGGTCATCATTTACCTGGGACACAAACATCTTTATAATCTGATCTTCCAAGAGGTCCATCCATAGACCTCTTTCCCAGACATCCTTGTCACCCATTTTCCAAATCTATTCTTTTTTCAAATACCTAGCAATATGTGATGGTTAATTTTATGTATCAGTTTAAATGGGCCAAAGAGCACCCAGATTAAACATTATTTCTGAGTGTGTCTGTGAGGATGTTTCCAGATGAGATTAGCATTTGAATTAGTGGACTCAACAAAGTAAGCAGCCCTCCCCAGTACAGGTCAGACCCCATCCAATCCACTGAGGGACTGAATAGAACAGAAAGTGGAAGGAGGAATTTGCAACCCTGTCTTTTTTCTCCCTGCATCACTCCTTTAGCT